GGTGCCACCTGCCCTCATTCCCGTCCCAGCCTCTAGCTGAACCGTCGGGGTGCCCCGAACCCAGCGCTCAGCGCCCATCCACAAACCCTCCTCTCTGGCTTGGACAAGCCTTGCTCTTTAGCAAACCACCTCCCTTCTCTCCTCAACCCGTTCTCTAGAGTCTCTTTCCACTCTTTGTTCTAAACAAGTCTGAGGTCCCCCCAGGCTCCCCATGCGAGACTGCCTCCTTGGGGAGGGCTGCTGTCTTCCCCAAGTTCAAGGGGCAGGAGGAAGGGTCCACACATCCTGGAGCTGCGCCCAGAACGCTGCTGTCCAGGCGCCTCCCTAGAGCTGCCCACTTAGAGAGCCTGCACCATGCACCCCTCCCCATCAGCATTACATACGAAGCCCCAAACCTGCTCCCCTTCTTTGTCACACAGAGGCACAGGGCTCCCTCAAGTCTGATGACTTCCGCATGGTCTTTCCCAGGCCCCCGTGAGAGTCAGGGCTCATGTGCAATCAAAGAAACCACCGTGCTGGTTGACACACAGGAGGTAATAGAGGGGTTAGGGGTGCACACATCATCCGGGCTAGAGGTGTGGCTTCGGGACTGGTCCTCCCACGGAGAACACAGCTGCCTCCTCTGGCACCTTCAGGAGCTGGGGGAGGGGAGGCCAGCCTCTGGCTCCGAGCACAGTGCCTTTGCTGAGGAAGCCCACGGGCCTCTGGGCTCCCAGCCACAACCCACAGCAGCCACACCGATGCCCTCTGCCCGCCTCTCACCCCCAACCGAGCAAAGGAAGGAAAGGTAGCGTCTTCAGGAGCTGGCCAGGCAAAACACGTGCACCTCAATATACACCATACGCTAATTTAAGCCCCAAATTAGCCTGACACCCACAAAGAGAGAGGGGAACTCTTTCTGCGGCTGAAACCCCTCCTGAGTGGAGGACTCGTCCCTGCCACCCATCTCTCCCCTCAACCTGACCGTCAGGCGCGGAGAGTCTGCAGGGGCACATTACCGTATAAAAGCCACAGAAACAAAATTGAAAAGAAAATTTATGACCCTTTTCCAAACCAATATCCTCAAGCTGACCAAGACAGCCAACCAGATATGGTCCCCCGGATTGCAGGGGAAGCTTAACAGGCACTTATATTTAACCACACGCAACTGGGGGGAGTCTGGCCACTTTCCAGTCCCCCGGGGAATGGATGAAGAATGTATCAGGGACGTTGCTGGGGACAGAGAGCTAAGGTGTACTTGCCCAGAATCGGCTCATCACCTCCTCATTTCTGCTCATCTCACTGAGGCTCATCCATTATGGGGTCCATACACCACTGTGGCTGGCCCGTCACTGTCACAGAAAGTTCTGAGGAAGCCAGAGGACTTCTGTTTCTCTCTCTTAGAGACGTAGGCGGTGTGGCAGGTCTCTGGGCCACACGTCTTGAGAGGATGCCCCATTATTTTTGAGGCAACCATTCTCCTTTCACTGGATGGAAAAGGGGCCGAGCATGGTTAGAGCTGCCCGTAACACCCGTCCCCGTGGAGAGCCCCTCCAAGGTCGCAGAGAGAGGACCAGGAGCAGCCTGGATCCTTGGCCCAGAAGGCTCAGAGCATCCATGGGGCAGAAGCCAACTTCCCAGTATGGCCGACCTGTTGCTCACCCAGCCAACAGCTCTTTTCCATTCTCTCCTGCTCACAGAACTCCAGTTATTTCTCGGGGCAATGCGGCCAGCAACAAGGAATCAATCACAAGACCCTCCACCAGCGATTGGTGGTAGAGGAGTTCATGTGATCAGTTCCAGCAATGAGGTAGAGAGAAGTCAGCTAGCAAGCTGGGGGACCCCCGTTAGAGATGGGCGTGGCAGAAAGTTCCTTTCTGGGGTCCCCTCTTCTCTGACTTTGGACACATGGTAATGGGCGGTGCTGCCTTGAGCTGCTGCACCCAGCTCAGACCAGAATATCTCAGAAAGGCCGATTTAGAGGCACCGGTCCACCACGCAACTTCCACCCACCCTGATAGACTGGACAGAAATTCGAGTATTGCCTGCGACGGTATTATATTCTGTTACTTGCTGCTCAAAGAAACCAACTACTAAGCTCTCGGTTGCCCAGCTGGCTTGAGACAGAACCAGGATACGATGCCAGGCCAGTGCCCATCCTCAGTACTTGGAATTTTACTTTTAAAGGTTTTCTGCACCTGTTTGGCGCATACACCAAACAACTCATGCACACTTGCATTGGGGTCCCATCTCCATCTGGAATTGTCAGGAAGAATTCCTATCGCTTGTCCCAGTCCCTAACCAGCCTTCTCGGGCACCATCCCAGCAGGGGCGCTGGAGAGCTTTGCTAGCTGGCAAGGCTGCGAGTCTAGGCTCTCCTGCTCAGCATGGGGAGGGCTGGTGATATAGTTTTTCTGGGGTGTTTGGCTGATGAGAGCAGTTACTGACTGAAAGTTCTGTGTGTGTGTGTGTGACTGTGTGAGTGTGAGGGAGCAGGTGTGTGTATGTGTAACTGAGCGTATGAGTGTGTGAGCAGGTGTGAGTGTATTTGTGTGTGAGTGTGTTATGGTGATGACTTGGGGGTCTCAGGGTGAAGCAGTAGGTGGTCTCTTATCCTGCACCAGAGAGGATGCGATTTGTAGAAACAGACAAACATGTTAATTGCAGGATAAATGGCTCTGGGCGCTGCGTGTCTATCAAGCTCAGATTAGACATCATAAAGGAGATCTTGATAAAAGAGTGAGCTCACAGAAGTGACATCTCATTAATTCAGCCCTGGCAGGAGACGACAAAATCTAATTTTCCAGATAACTGTAATCACTCAAACTTACAAATTAACATTTTATCAGGAACAATTTCAACCTTAGTCACAGCATTCCAAACACCATTTAATTTTCCCTTGGTAACTCCTGGCCTCCCCGTGGAAGATGGGCCACTGTATGCACTGCCATCGGGAGGACTCCAGCAGTGAGTGTGACCGTTGGGACCCTACAGAAAACAGCTCCAGGTCCTGCATCTTCTAGCCTCAAACCCACAGCGATTTACAAAGGCCCATGGGGATCAATTACAGCAAAATGGCCACGGTTAACATCAGCATTATCCATTGAAATGCTTTGGCTGCGCTAACACATAATAATCGATGGCATTGCCAGCCAATGGAGTTAAGAGTCTGCAGAAGGGGAGAGAGCGGTGGAGTTGGGGTTCAGGGAAACAGGACCACTCACCCATCTTAGAGCCCCAGGGAGTTGGGAGCCAGGACCCAGAGCACTCTGGGCAGCAGGTCTGTGTTGTGGGGCCGATCTCTGAGCTCTGATTTCCCGCCTCTTAGAGTTACTGGTTGGACATATTCCATGAAGGACTTGAGGGCGCAACTACTCGTCCCCCTGTGCTCGGACCCTTGCCCACCAGGCAGCCTCCGCCCGCCACCTGCAGCAGGTAGGCAGTGTTCCCAGCACCGTGCATCATTCTGTTTCTGCAAGTCTCCTGGGCTGGCCCTGGGTTCAGCCCCTGCTTCCCCTTTAGGGGCTACGATTCAACTGAAGGACAGGAGTGGCAGAGCTGAGGCCCAAACTCGTGGGTGACTGTCACCCTAAGGGCACCACAAGCTGCTGAAAACAGTCACAAGTCACTGCTACTGACAACAGTAAAAACTCAAAAGCTTGTCATTTTTGTTTACAAATTAGAGTAGATTATAAATACATGTGGAGAGCGCATATTGTGCTGTTTTACATTGACTGTTTCATTTGGCGTCCACAGCAACCCAATGAGGTAGCAACTAATAAAACTCCCATTTCACAAATGAGGAAACTAAGACCTTGAGCGGTTAAAGATCACACTGAGAGCCTGGAGACTAAGCTTTTCACCACTTTGCTGCCTGCCTCCTTGTCAAGCCTAACTGTCCCAGCATATCTGTCACATCAGGGACAGAGTAACGGTTGGCCCACTGACCTGTCTGTAACCCGTAGCCTCCCACCTGAGTGTCACAAACCAGCAAAACCTTTTTGAAAAATTGATTTTCAGAGAAAGAAGGGAGAGGAGGAGAGAGAGAGAAACATCGATGTGAGAGTGAAACATCAATAGGTTGCCTCCTGCACGGCCCCTACGCGGGATCAAGCTCACAACCCAGACACGTGCCCTGACCTGGAATTCAACTGGCAACATTTCGGTGCACGGGATGATGCCAAACCAACTGAGCCACACTGGCCAGGGCCAGCAATGACTTTTAAATCTGGTTTAATCATCTACTTATAAAATGACTGTTACATAAAAAATTAGCAGAGTTATTTCCTTCCTCAAAGGATGGCTTTTCTTATGTACCTGGGATGTCAGCAGTCCCCTCTTCCAGTAGACGCAGGGGCAGGACAGTGGGAGTGGCATTTGGCCCCTAGGAACAGCCCTCGGTGTGAGGGCAGAGCTGTGGTGGGCACTCCACTGTGTCCTCATGGCCCTCCCACCTTTCTTCTCTGTGTACTCAGTGTGTGGTTTTGTCACTGAGGCCGCTGCACTTCTGTCCCAGCCAGAGGAAGGAAGACAGAGGGACAGGCAGAAAGGACAGGTGCTCTTTCTTAAGGGGTTGCTTCTTGGGGTCCGGGCCAAAAACCCAACACCCCAAAACCACACTTGGGGCATCCAACCAAAGGAGGTGATCACAGGTAGCTGGAAGGTGTAGAAAATAAGAGCAAACTCCCAGGTAACCGGGATATGGAGCTGCAGGGAGCAGCACCAATACCCAGGGCTGGGGGATGAGAGGAGATGGTGCGGCCACCAGCAGCAGCTCAGAAGAGGGCTACCTGTTCCTCCGAGGGTGCAGCGTGGCTGAGGCTGGCTCTGCCCAAAGGAGCCAAGGCCGTGGCTGTTCCCAGAGCAACAGGGGTGCACTGGGGCATCAAGACCTGTACGTCCACGACCAAAAATTCCATGCGTTTCGTGCAAAGTTACAGCAACCCCGTGTAGGCAGAACCGCAGAGGGCTCAGCTGCCTCAGAAATACAGTTCTTCCTGCAGTCAGCTAAAGGAGCTTACCTTTCAGATGACTGGTGTGTCCCCAGCAGTCTCAGGTAGGTGGCTGCAGTAAGTGGAGTGACTCTAGCATGAGCCAGCTGAGACTCTCAGTCCTGCAGACCAGGCCCGACTTGGTGATCGCATGCACATCTGAGACCCCTTGAGTCACCAGCTGTTTGAGGCCACCGTGCCTGCAATGATAAGATAAGTATGAGTCTGAGCTCCAAAGATTACACTCAGCCCTTCAGTGAGTTGAGTGTTGTCTGTAGGAGGCTGGTACAGGGAGAGCGCAGATGTAGATCCAACATGTCCCTCCTCAAGCCAGCTCCAAGGGCTACGCCTGCCTTCTCCCTATAAATGTTTTCTTATAGATGAATAACACTCAAGACACAGACAAGCTGAGAATAGCAGGGCCCTCGGCCCCACAGTTGATGACTGCTGGCTCTGGACCAGGTTCTGGAGACACGGATTGTCGCCACACTGTTCTACCAAACACCACAGTTCTCGGGGGATCATCTCAGCCAAATGCCTGCTTACTCCATGTTTCCACAGTACACGTCTAACTCATGTAACGTTAGTTCACCAAGGACATCCTGAAGTCATGATGGCCCCTTTGGGGAACTTCTGACATGGACAGGATTATTGTGATGGGCATCTGAACACAGACAAAGAAATCCCGAATACCCAACGGTTTCTGCTCTTCTCTTGACATGAGACCTCCAAAGTCGATTCAAATTCTAAAATCGTCTCCCTAGAAGATTTCCCAAATTCCAGGTCAGAAAGGAAGTTCAGAGACAAATTCAGACTTGTGCTCAGCATATATACTCTGGGCTTTTCCAACCTCCTTCAACCAGCCCATGTGTGGTGGGGCCAGGAGATGCAAACCCTGGGATGAGAAAAGCCAATTAGCATGACCCTAAAAGGGACACAGGGCTAACGAATCCTGAAAAACATAAAGTAGAAACTCTTTTAACAGGGACACCTGTCAATATTGCAAACCAAGTAATTGAAAATTATCCCATCCTAGCCTTAAAGACACAGGAACTAAAGTTCTGAGGTACCCTGAAGGGGCTCCAAGGGAGACTAGTCAGCTCCCTCTTCTATTCTTTTCTCTCTGTTCCCTTTTCTCCATCTCTTAAAAGACTTTGGAGATTGATTGTAGTAGGATGTATTTTCTAAAAATGGTCACTGCGATATTTCTAGTTTCATATGCTCTTCTTCGATCTTCCTACTCCCCCAATGAGAGACAGAGTTCACGTCCATTCCCCTTGAACTTGAGTGGGCCTTTGTAACTGATTCGATCAGTAGGTTGTGGTAGAAGTGAGGCTGCGTGACTTCTGGAGCCAGGTAAGAATAGACCATCCAGCTCCCAGGTAGCCAACTGCCATGCTGTAAGGAAGCCCAACCAGACCTGCGCAGAGACCACATGGAGAGGCCCACATGGGGAGAGGAACCGCCAGGTATGTAAAGACTGAGCCTCCAGGTGATTCTGGCCCCCATCCTCTGAGTTTTCCAGCTGTGGCCACAGGCATAAAACAGAGACAAACCATTCTGCTGTGCCATGTCCAAAGTACTGATCCACAGTATCTGTGGGAATAAGTGACTGTTTTATGCAACTAAGCTTTGGGGTGATCTGTTACACAGCCATCGAAGTTGGAACATTAAGTAATCACAAAAATGTTCTGTCATGTCCACATTGCAGACCTAACACAACAGAAAAAGAAATCAGACTCTGATCTCTTAACGATCCACAAAAGTTGCTCTTCTAATTGGTTAGAGAGAGTTCATACATATTTAAAAGATAATTCGAGAACTTCCAAAGGAAAGAGAAGAATCTTGACCTTCTAATTATGTGGTGATTGTTCAACTTTTTTCAAAGGCAAAACCTTTAACTGTGATATTCATTAATGACCTTGGCTACTACGTTACAAAAGAAGAAAAGCCGATAATTCACAGCTTTTTAACTTTTAAGTATGGCTGAAAAACTCTTCTAAAGCCATTTGAAAAACAAGGTCATGTCATGTCCCTGATGGATGACTGCAGGCAAATGAAAGTGAGTGAGTACTTGTGATTTAAAACACCTAATTCCTGCTTCCATGGAGAATGTAGAGAGCTGCACAGAACAATGAGAAAACCTGGATAATCTATAAAAGTTATCATTTTTCTTGAGTCTGTCAGAGACGTGAGGTTGTAAGGCAACCAAGTGAGCTGAATTCCAAAAGAGCAGGTGCTCCGAGGAGAAACACAGCACACAATCTATTTGCCCTTTGGAGAAGACAGGAGAAACACATGGCCACCAAGAGGCACGAAGGCATCACCTTAGGTTTTAGCAGATCACTAGCGGTCAAGTGTGGGCCAGGATGCAAGTCTGGAATAGCTGAGAATCCAGACTTAGGGAGTTTGTACTCGCAAGATCTCTGAGTGCTCTGAAAAGTATCAGGACCAGCTGGGAAAACTGGGGAGGGACAGGCCTGTGCATGCGCAGGAAGACCCCAGCTGCTGTCGGAGGACACAAAGCCCTACCACTGCCCTGGATCCATCCCTCCTACAAAGCAAGACCTGACACACCGAGGGAAGGGCACCAAATCCTCCCACCCACAGGGCACAATATGTGTCTATTCCAGTGATGATAAATCAATGTCATCTCCATGACTGAAGGGGGCCAATGGAATTAATCTCTCCGTGATTACAGTGTTGTACACATGAGATAAAGAACTTGTTTACTGCTCTATTTCCAGTGCCTAGAAAGGTGCATGGCACATATTAGGGGATCAGTATTTATTCACTGAAGGGATACACTTGTGTTCTATAGCACAATTTATAGGGATTTTTCTTCTGTTTCTTGGGTTACGTTTTCTTCCCGATGGGCTCTTCATCTAATTTCACAGACTGTGTTCCTTCCTCCCTTTCTTCTGTGTTCATTTGTTTTCCCTGTTATAATATATATATGCAGTTGCTCTGTCATTTGTTTTTTAAAAAACTGCCTTACTGTGATAATTTATATACCATAAACTTTTCCAGCTTAATGTGTAACTGACTTTTTTCACTTAGCACAGTGTTTTTGAGGTTTATCCACGTTGTAGCATGTTGGTACTTCATTCCTTTTTATGACCAAATAACATTCCATTGTATGGATATACTTTTTTTATGCATTACTCACCAGTTGATGGACGTTTGGGTTGTTTCCACTCTTTGACTATTATGAACAATGCTATGAACAAGCTTTTATATGTATATATTTTTATTTTTATTATATATCCAGAATTGCTGAGTAACATGGTAACTTTAAAAATTTTAAGTTCTTAAAGTTTTCCAAAGTGGCCGTAATCACTTTACATTCCTGCCACCAGTGTATGAGGGTTCCCATTTCTCCACCTCCTCACTGATACCTGCTATTGTCTGTCAGTCTAGTGGGCAGGAATTGTCACTTTTTGTCTTCTTGTGTAATGTGGGCAACTTTGTGATATTAAGTGAATAATTTCCTCTATTTTTCCTCTGAGAAGTTTGAACTTTGTATTTTGTGTTCTATTTAGTGTTCAGTAGCCTCATAGCCAAAGTGAGGCAGGGAACAACTCAGCTGGGACTTTTCTAGAATATCTTTTCTAGAATATCTGGTCTCTTTTCGGAGATTTTTCTTGATGCCTCCAACTGTTTCCTTCCCGATTAGGAGGTGGATCTCATAACCCATGGGGGTCATCTTGGGCTCTGGATCCTTTTTCTGGTTCAGTGTGACACCCACCCCATCCATCAGAGAATCAGTGCGCTGTCCACTGGCCTCTCTCATGGGTCTCTCCCCTAAGCCTTTTCACTTCCCCTGCAAAAACAGGGAAAAGATGAGCATATCCCCTCCCTCCCAGTTATTACTGTGTTTCTCTTGCAAGTGAGAGTGCCTGGGTTTTCTGATTCACCAGGACCATGTTGCAGTAGTAGTCTTGCACACCTGAGCAATATTTTTCTTCTCTTACTATTTTTGGATGCTTTTGACATTTGTCTTTTTCTTTATTTGCTGCTGGTTTTGTTTTTTGTGGGAAGGAGCTGCCAGTTTTTACTACATTGGGTTCATGTCAATAAGTATTTGAAAAGACGTTGTGATCCAGCCATACTCTACCATTCTACTGAAAAAATTCTTGGCAATACTTTCAGGTGTTTAGCTTAGGCCTGGAGAGTCCCCCTCATTCATTCATTAAACAGATGCTCACTATGTGCCAGGGAGGGCTCTTGAAGAGAACCAGATCTTGCTCTCATGGAGCCTTAGTTAATCATGTCCGCGAGTCTCAATCAAAGCTTCCTCAGTTTGCATAAAGTATGTTTATAGAAGTCAATTCCAATACTTCGAATCTGAGAGTTGACACCAAATTTGCCTGGGTTATAATTAACATACACACCCTCTAACATTCCCGTGACACTTCACTCTATCAAAGGTGCTTTCATCAGATACGGGGTGGGCGGAGGGGAAGCTTCAGAGCAGGAGTGAAGCGATCCTTCATCCTCAGCTCTCCTGCTACTGGAAAAGCTGCCTCAGACACAGCTTGTTCTGCACTCATTGCTATGGGATGAATTCAAATCATTCCTAAGATCCTTAGCTGATGATGTACCCAAAATAAATGCAATTCTGGCACAAAGTATCTAAAAACGTATAGGAAAATCAAGTTGTAAGGCACAGAGAAGGCATTTTTAAATCTTCAAGCATGAGAGCTTTTAAAAATCTTTCTAGAAACACCATTAACCAGAGCTGTTCCACAGCAATTTGCAGGAATCCCATTAACACAGTGCTATGGCCAATATTTACTTGAAGCCAATTTCTTTGTATTATCTCCCTGCAGCCACCTCAACTGCCAGTTTCTAGAATTCCACTCGAGTGCTTCAATCTTTCCGACACCCATGGCACTGACTCACTCTGCAAATATATGAGCCACTGTGCGTAAGACATCATGCTGGGGACACCAGGAAGCCAGAAATAAATAACACAGCACCTGCCCGGGAGGAATTATTGGGGCAAGTGGGACAGCAGACAAAGCAAGGCAGAGATTCGTACGATGAAGTAATGACATATGGCTTGTTGCAGTGATAAATTCTGAATTTCCTGATTTCCGTCAATAGAGGTTGGGGACTGATATGCTGAAAAGGTCCCCCACCTAACAGCCCCTCGGCAAAGCCACCAGCTCACAGGAACAAAGCGTAAAGGTCAGACCCAAACAGGACATTTGGCTGCCAGCAGAGGCCCATGGAATTTGCTGGAGAGATCATACACTCTCTTTCTGGTGCCTTTAAAGGGTAGTTCTAAGTTTCTTGTAGGGACCCATGTAGGAGTTCATCATTCCTAAGTTTGTTTGAACTGTATTTGGAAATCTTCCTTTTCCTGCTAGTCCCATCTCAGCAGCCACAACGCCATCAAATCCTTGAAAGGAAGCATCCCTCATCTGCTCATATCCCTTAGGTTCCAAAGACTTGTATTCCTTGTAAAAGGCTTTTAGGATTTGGAAGCAAATCTATGCATTCATCTCCTTTCACGGATCCAGAATCTTTCAGCTTTCACCTTCCAAGCCATGGTCAACTGTCTGCTACCTACTTCCTCAGAGTCTGTGCACAGCCAGCAGTTCCCACAGCTTCCCTGGCTCCTCCTCATGTGGTAGCTCAACAGGGAAATGCTAGAGAGTCTCTTCTGCACAGAGCTAACTATGGAAGATATTCCAGAAAACATTTTATTAAAGTTAGCAAAGGGGCTGTTTCCTTGTAGGTTCCTTGCAGGAACAGGTCTTCATCTAAAGACATACCGGCTCCACCAAGTGTCATGTACCCACGATGGGTAAGAAAGTGTGTTTTCCCCAGAGAAGAAAGGTCCATGCAAACTAGGCTACTCCCAGCCAGAAGTGCTGGCGTGTTGTGCCCACGCCCATGTTCCGAGGAAAGATCATGTTCGGATGGACAGGTTCTGGAAACACAATGTGCAAGCAAATGTGAAGGGGACACGCCACCCAGTGGCCAGAGCTGGAGCTGCCACTCAGCTACACCAAAAACACCTGAGCGGACCTTCAAGGGCGAGGCATCACCAGAGGGATTCACATCCCCTTCCAGGTAAACTGCGATTAATCATCTCATGAAGAAAATACATTTTGTTGCATGGAATTTATGGAGATATTTTCCAAAACTATTTTATAGCTTCTAGATCTGACAGGCTGGTTAAATCTTCTGGCTATTAAGAGAAACCCAATTTGAAAGAGAAATGCTAAGAGTTGTAATGTTTTAAAAGAAACCTTTGTAAAACCCATTTGGGATTTATACTGGTTTTTCTTTCCAATAAAGGAACTGTAGACTCAAAAACACTCCTCATGCTAAAACACAATGAACACTACACGGTATGTCAACAACCAGCCAACTGTGAATACAGCTGACCCTTGAACAAAGACCCAAACTGTGCGGGTCCACTTCTATGCAGATTTCAGGTGGACCCACGCAGCTCAAAGTCGTGTTGTTCAAGGGACAGCTGTGCTTTCAACCCACAGTTGGGAATCCCATATTTGCAAGGCTGACTTAACCTACGTGCAGATTGACTGCTCGGCATCCACGCCCCTCACCCCAATGCTGTTTAAGGGCCAATGTCTACCTGTTGGAATGGAGCAATGTCCCGAAAAATACACATTTTACCTCATAATGGTAACAGCTGTTAGGATTACTCAAGATTATCGGTTAATACAGAAAACAGGTCTACAATGTTTCTTAAGCAACGTGTAACTTTATTGACTTTTCAGTACTCTTACAATTTTACGTTACTAATAAAACTCAGACCACAGCAGCTAGACATGAAAGTTCTAGTTTAAACACCCGCATACAAATACATGCACACAATGCAAAACTCACAGAGCACTGGAGTGTAGACAATTTATTCAGCTAAAGAGTAAAACTTTCCCATTTTCTGCATCACAGCTGAAGAGCTTTTCTGGGCAGATCACGTTCAGGCCGAGATCCGAGCAATACACTTCGACTTAAGCAACATAAAACGAAAAGTCACAGGAATTAATTTGATTTCCAATAACTGCAGCTTGTTCCTCCAGTTTAAATCCAAGTTTTTTCACAGAAAAAAATATATTTCAAGCAAATGAAACCAAATTCCAGAGAAGCATGGTTCAGTGTTTTTTATTGTACCTTTATCAAGGCAGGCAAAGTACAGATGCTGTACATTAAAAACATACAAATGCGGCAAATACACTCGCAGCACATCAGTTCCTACAGGCAAAGGACTTTTTCCAAGCATCGCTCCTCTCTGAAGCACACAGCCACAGCTAAATGTACAGAGAGCCATCTGCTGGTCCCACGTAGCCCACTCCAATCAACAAGACGTCTATCAGCGTCCAGATGCCCAGGCCCCCGAAGCTGAAGAGCTTGCCGAGGCCCTCTCTCCACTGGCCCAGGTAGAAGCGGTCCGCTCCAAACCCACCGAGGGTGATGCTGCAACACCAAACGGACTCGATCCACCAGACGTCCCCCCACCACCCCGTCAGGTGAGGCTCCACAGCCCCACTAAGTCACACCTGGGAAAGGCTCTCAAATAAATGATCCTAACCCTGTTAGATCACAAAGACTATTTCACATTTCACAACGCCAAATACGTATTTTCGATCTTTCATCCTTGGTGGGAATCAGCGTATGCGGAGGGCTTTTAAGTTACACCCAGATTTTCGGCTGTGCGGGTGATTGGAATCCCTACCCCCGTGTTGTTGAAGGATCAGCTGTAATCACGGGCGAGAAGACTGTTAAAATGTCCAAAGCAGACACATGGTCTTTATCTGGCCTAAATCTAAGGTTACTCTTTTAAAGAAAAGTAATGGACCTCTTAGCATTTTAATCTTGAAAATGGCACATCCCTGAGAAGGAAGCACGAACATGGAGTCAGAAGTTGGCACCGTGGGGCAGCCCACTGCCATCTGGCTGCCCTGGGGCAGGCTGTCTGTTTCAGTCACTCACCTGTGTGGCTGAATTTAGAGTTAGGAATAAATGACTTTTAAGGTTCCTTCCAATGCTAAGATCTAACACTATTTGGATAACTTCTAATTGGACTTTTCAAGTTTTTATGACAGAAAATTTCAGAGCATATAAAAGTAAAAAGTAAAGAGAACAGTACCCATGACCCAGCTCCAAAAAAACCAACACTCGGCCAGCCCTGCCTCATCTATACGCGAGGTTGCACGCCCCTGCCCCGTGCCATGCTGCAAGGCCACAGGGTTTCAGGCTCTAAAACTTCAACTGGAGGTGGCACAACTTTGTAGTTAGTGAATCGTTTAACCAGTTTTCCCTCTGGCAGGAAGAATGGGTACAATTTTTTTTCAAACTGTTCAGAAGTTTAATAAATACAAGCATGTAAAAATTCTAAGTCTACAATCATTTCCAGATGGTGGAATTATAGGTGATTTTTAATGTTTTTCTTGGTCATTTTCACTTTTCCAGTGTTTGGTATTGAGCATGTAGTATTTTTTTATAATAAAGATGACAGTTATTAAAAATTAAAAATACACATCATAAATCTACCTATTTTAAACAGTACACAGTATACACTGATTCACGGTACGTTCAGGATGGGGAACCCTGACTGGTTTAATGATCTATAATCATGCCTCAGTAAGTCCTATGCAGGCTTCTTGGGAGAAAAGCTAACTTTCTGCAATTCAATTCCTAAAGGTGTTGGTCTGACTACTTAAGGATGTGTCCCACAGCTACATTTCTTTGCATCTGTCTGGCAGGTGGTGGGATCTGAGTGGAGTAGTCTGTCTGAGCTCAATGTCTGGAAATTCCACAGATCCCAACAAAATCCAAATGGCCCCTCTAGCTTATTGGTAACAAGGCTTACCTGAGAGCCAGAGCAGTAGACCACTTATAACCTCCAGTCCAATTGCAATACAGCATTTTTGGAAATGTTCGATTACCTTTAAAAAAAAAAGAAAGAATGCTCTCTACTTAGAAACATGGGCATAAAAATACTCCTACACAGAAACTAACTGTAACTAGGGCCTTGTAATTAAAAATCTAAAAAGTCGACCCTCCTTACAATAATGCTCACCACAGTGAATGGTTTTATCAAATACTACCTTTTAAAAGATAAAAACATTGCAAAATTTGTGGATTTCTTTTTTAAGCTCACTGAGTATATTAATGAGGCTTGGCATAACTCCAAAGTGCTAAGAAATGCTTCTGATGAAATAATTTAAATTTATTTCTCAAGTTTCTGATTCAAATTCCACAAGCAAGCTTAGAGCAAAATAGCTTGCTCCCAAGTCGCTGATCTCCGACTCACCCAAGCAGTGCACGTGGTCCCGCACCGTGCAGTTGGCGGTGTAGCGCTGCCGCGGGCAGGACACAGTCATGCAGCTGGTGGAATTGGAGCACTCGTAGTCAGTTTCTGGGAGCTGCCAGCAAAATCGGCAAGTCATGTTGATGACAAAGTGCTTTTGGGCTCTGAAGTCCTGATCCTGTGCAGCAAAGGACACAGAACTCATCAATCATGATATAGTAGCTTGTTAATATGTCGATAAAACTACACAGTCTAATGCCATAAAGATTGCAAAATACTTTATGATCTTGCAGGAAGTGGCAGGAAAATAGGTAGCAAACCATTGTATGCAAAACAAATGTACATGATATGATCCTATAATCATAAAAATATACACCCAAAAATATAAACCTAAGAAAAAGTATCTCGAGAAATTCACATGAAAATCAGTAAGGTTATTTCAGGGTGGTAGGTTTATGTCATCATTTTTACCAGGCTAAATCTGTAATAATAAGCATGTGTACTTTTGTACAAAAAAGAGGAAAATTTGTTTTATAAAGCAGGAGAGTCATGAATAGCTGGAAAGACAGATAAGCACATCTGTTCAAGGTCACTGAGCTGCAAGTTCGGAGTAGAAGCCAAGACCCACCAGTCTCAAATCCTCCCTCATATCCCCACCACAGTCCAGGGCTGGTTTTGCTGCTGCTGCCAACACGGCACATGGCATGATCCACCCACAGGCAGCCCCAGAGAATCACTCAACTTAGAAGAACCAAGGGTAGAGACTCAGCACGTGCTCAGCGGTGGCCCTTAACTTTGAGACCAGACTTTTTCATTTAGCTTTTAGAAATCAGTATTTTGTTTTCTGCTTATAGAAGCAGCACATGCTCTTTGTAAGTTGCAGATCTGGGAATGAAAGAAAAAAACCCTGTATGCTCTCCAGAGACCCATTTTTAATCTTCTTTCACTTTTTTCCTTTTTAGTATAGATTTACAGAAGCAGAATTATACTGAAAGCATTTTGCATCCTTTCTTACTCCCACTTGACATTAGATTGTAATACATATTTTTCAAAACCATCTTTAATGATCATACAATCACCTCTGGAAGTTATCATATTTGTTAATTTTTTTCATCTATGCAAAGCTGTTTTGGACAGCATCCCAAACTGAAAGACACCACCTGATTTAGGCGATACTGTTTTAAATGTCTGCATATTCCTAGTGATGCGTTTATAACACACCTTTCTTAGCAACTGTTTTTTAAATTAGTTAATACATGTACAAACTCCCAGACAGGACTGGAGAGTGGAGGAAGCCAGCCCTCCCCAGCACTGAGCCCTGCTTATCCACTCTTATCCACTGGCCTTCAAGGAAGTCTATTCTATGCCCGGGTACATTTCTTTTCTAAAATCTAACTTTCCCACTGATACTTTCGCTTAATTCTGCAGCTATCCGTAAACGTCTCCAGAGCCGCCTAGTTCTTTGTTAAGAGTGGCAATGTATTTATCTCATTACAGTGAGCCATAAATTAAACAGTTCTCTCTTGAACATTAAGCTTGCTTTGGATCTCTTGCTTAGGTGAACAATGCAGCTGAGTGTAACACCCTTGGGCATATTTACAAGCATCCATGTGCAGTACCTGGAAGATACAGTCCTGGGTATGGAATTGCTGGGCCAAAGGCTACATGCATCTGTAAGCTTCACAGGTATGACAAACTGCCTAGGCGAGGACGACCAATCTGCCCACCCACTAACAAGACATAAGAGTGTCACTTACATCCTCACAAAAATCAGTTATCTTTTTTTTTTGCCAAGCTAATAGGTAAAAACCACAGTTATGTATATCTCTTCAGTTATGAGAAGAATTAAACCTGTTGGAAGTCCGTTTGTACTTTCTTCTTTAGGAACCATCTGCTCCTGTCCTAAGACCATTTTTCTAGAGGACTGTCATCTTTTCCTCATTGGCTCTTAGGAAATCTTTACATAGTATGGATATTAGTGCATTATTTGTAATGTCTTAGAAATCCTTTTTCCTAGTTTGTCATTTATCTTTTGCCTTTCTGGGTGTTTTTTTAATCCTCACCTGAGGACACTTTTTCCATTGGTTTTCAGAAACAGTGTGGGGGGAGAGAAACATCGATGTGAGAGACACATCGACTAGTTGCCTCGCGCAATGTGCCCCAACTGGGGCCGAGGATCGAGTCTGCAACAAAGGTCTGTGCCCTTGGCCAGAACTGAACCTGGGACCCTTCAGTCCACAGGCTGACACTTTAACCACTTAGCCACACTGGCTAGGGCTGTCTTTATGGTTTTTTTAGGTCATGTAGAAATCTCTAATTTTTAGTAGTCAAATACATCAATTCTTTCTTTGATGGCTTCTAAATTTTATTTTACACTTAGAAAAATATTTCCTTCCTTGAGATTTTAACTAAACATATCTCATGCTTTCTCTGGCACTTTGTGGTTTAATTTATTCACATTAAATATCTGACCCGTCTGTAATTTATTTTGAGCAAGACAAGGATTCCACTTTTTACAAATAGCTACCCAGACACCCCAGCATTTACTGAATCCTTCTACTTACACAGAGAAGTACAGACCCCTTCAAAACCTCGTCTAGAGTAAACAGGTCTGTTCCCTTTCCCTCTGTGAAATAGCTGTTCTTATTAAAAACACAGAACCATCTGAAGGGATCACACCCGCTGCAGGCACACTAGCAGACAGGTGTCTTCTCCAAGTAACACAAACAACCTCTCTGTTGAGCAATTTCCAGCTCACATCAACTGGCCTGACAGCTGCCATTATAATGGGAACAGGAGCCCCTGTTAAGGAAGAGGCTGCAGGTTTTTTTACATTTATTTATATTTACACACTTAGCAGGGTCCTTATTAAATAATGTCCTTGACTAGTGTAATCTGGGTGAGAATCCCTTAGACTGTGAGTCCCTAGTAATATGCACAGAGAAGGACTGAAAGAGTTTATACTTTTTCATTAATCTTAGTTCGAACTAAAAGGGGAGAGAGGAAGAGAGTCTGAGTGCAGGTCCGAGAGAATGAGTATTTGCACATGTGCATGATGGTCATGGATTATTTCTTCCTGAAATGCTCCCTTATTTACCAAGAAGGGACCCTACAGGTTGTCATTAAACAAATAATGAGAGAAAATGTGGTTTAACCCGGATGACCTGGCTACAGTGGTCCTAGACCCTATGGCTCTTGACAGCCAATTCATGGATTTCACTGTCCTACTTTCTGAAGGAGGAATGGACCACCAGACTCTCCTGGGGCAGACTTCAAATCCCACATCTAAGGACAGGCACCTGCTACTTGATAGGACTCCCTACTACTGGCTAGAACAGGGAGCAGATGAGATGGAAGCACCTGGAAGAGGAAGACAGAAAGAACCCAACTGGGGGCCCATCACAGGCAGGGGTGAGGACTCTACTGGGGACCAGAAACTTCCCTCCGCTTTGTCATTTCTCTACCTTCCTAATTTTTCTTCTCTGCTCTTTTCCACTAAATAAAACAGCTGGCTTTTGGAACACCGAAAGAATCAAGAAATGGAGAACTATCTCACTAAGTAGCGAGGTTTGGGAACTAAAGATCAAAGAAGCTGAGGGAAACAACAGAAGAAGCAAATTCTGGAAAAGTTCCCTTTAGCAAAGTTTTCCCATTTTCACTACCTAAATGCAGTGTGCAGTAACTACCTGGTCCACTTGATACCTAGGTCTCCCTGACCTGTTCTCATTCAGCAGGTCTGGGGCTGCCTGTAGGAGTCTGTGATTTAAACAGGAGCCGAGGTGAAGCAGCTCGGAAGCCGGTATCCCTAGAGCACTGTAAGAAACACCAACTACAAAAGCCTTTCTATGCTCCTTCCTGGCCCTCAAAATATCAAAGACGGGACATAGGTATGATGATTGTAACAGGGTCATTTCTGATGGGCAAGTTGGTACGCTTGAATTTTTTCTATTTACGACTTTCTGTAAGAAGCCTGATAATCTTATCCATATATCAAAAAATTACCACCTGAACCCCTGTAACCAAACCTCACTTGGAAATGGAAGCTCCAGTCTTTGGATAAAACTGACTTTCATCCTAAAATATTACTTATAAAAAAGGCAGAGCACTTTCAGAATTTCCCCCCGAGTCAGGTCTAAACTCTCCTGATAGCACCAGGTTTACAGTGAGTTTATTTAGAGTAAGTTGCAGTACTTACAACACAGGTAACAGAAGGTTTGACTGTGCAGTCAAAAGTGACAGGCTTCCCATAGACACAGGAGAAATTTGTCTTGCATTCTACACAGTCTGCAGGGAGTTTGCTGCACAGACCATTGCTTGGACACTTCATCACATAGGGTGGGATATCGGTACTTTCTGCGAGAGGTGAGAGAGAAGCTTATGCTCTTGTAATACTGATAAAAAAACTCACAATTTTCTAAGTTTACGGAGCATGATCATTAGCAATTAGAGAATAGGCTGGAATGGAAAAAGCAGAGCTGGAGTCAGAGCTACCTGCATTTAAAGCAGGGCTCTGCCGCCAGACAGCTGTGTGACTTGGTGGACAGCTCAACAGCTAAGAAAGAAGTATTTCATTACTGTCCCCCGAATGACCACAAAAATCAAAGGTGCTTACGTATATGTGATATATTGCTAATGCTAGGTATAAGTTAGGGCCTCAAAAAAATCTACCATATAACAAGATGAAAAACTAAGTCTCAGGGATGGGAAGGTTTGTGCAAGATCACAGAGGGAGTGGCAAACCAGAACCAGAACCGGAACCTGAATCTCAGTTTCCAATCCACTGTTCTTTTTACGTGCACTCACTGATTTGGAAATGAAGCCAGTGACCCTCTAACTGAATCCATCAGTACAAAAGGGGACCAACTCTAGAAAATATTCACTGTCATTATCCCACACCGCTCATCAATAAGCCATAATTTGCTAATAACATTTACAGTTTTATACTACCAAAGTTCAAAATAGTTTTCTATGTTCACAAGTTGTTCAGTGGGTTGCAGGTTTTTTCCCAGCCAACCTAGCCCAGAGTACAATGTATTTCTATCAGTTAAGAGGGGATCAAAATCGCAAGTAAGCCTTTTTCTTTTCTGTTCTTTGAGCTTTCAAAAAGGTGCAAAGGGTAAAACAATTCTTGCACTACCACTATAAAATAATCTCTGTTTTAAATTCAAGTATGCTGCTGTCTTCTAGTGGTCCCAAAATACCTCTCAAGGAATGAAACTACAGAAACAAAGGTTCCATTTAGCAAAACACACTAATATTTAAAACTGATCTTACTTTAAGTCGCTGTAGCAGGTAGGCAATTCTACAAAATACCATTTTTTTCTTGCCTTTTGTTCCTATTACTATTGTGGCTGGAAGCCGGACACTTTAGCATCACAAAGCCAGAATGACTACAAGGCCAGGTGGACCTCACCACCTTAAAGATAAGAAAACCAAAGCCCAGGGGGGTGAGTAATTTGTTCCAGCTCCCAGGAGCACCAGGGGACCTAGACTCCAAGCTCCACCTGTCCCTCTGTGATCCTTCCACTTCAAACAGCCTTTCCTAGCCAACATCGGGGGAGTCAAGAAGTGGAAGAAATGTTCTGCAGGGAAAGCAGCGCTGGTTGAGGGTTGTCTTGATGAAGTAAAAAAAAAATAACAGAAATAAAGGGATGGAAATGAAGAGACCGTGGGGCTGTCAAAAGGGACGGAAATATCAAGCCTGTCTACAGAAAATGTCTATCTGCCCTAAATTCATGTAATCTAAAATACAAGAAGTATTTAAAAAAAAAAAAAAGGGTGATTTCATATACTAAAAGGAGCTTTATCCAAAATCGAGAGGGAGAACCCAGCAGATAGAAGCATACACATTTACTAGAAGAGAAAACGTCTAGTACCTGCTGCCCTGGGAACTACTGTGAAAGTGCGTGTTGGGCCCGGATCCCTGATTGCCTGCGCCAGCGGCTGCGCATGCTCTAAATTTAAGGATCCTACAATCAGAGAAACGTGTTATCCCGGGGCAGGAAGACCCCGGTGTGCGGTAAGCAGGCAGGGCCCACGCCACGCAGGGACGGCGCGTGAAACCCTCACAGCTCGACTGCCCAGGAAGCGAGAAAAAGGAACCGCTAACGGCGCCGACACCCATGGGCATCCCCGGGCGACTGGGGGACAAAGCGAGGTGAGGGGGACAGTCCCGCCGCCGGGCCGCGCCCCCTCGCTCCCGAGCTCTGCAGCTGAACCTGCGGCTCGGGGGTCCCCGTGCGCGGGGGGCGGGGGGTCGTCCCCGGACCCGAGG